GATCTATTAGTGAAATTTTAGCTGTGAAAATTCTACTTTTTTCTCAACTTCTCCCCATTCCTAAGCATCCAGAAGATTATACTCCCAAATGAGCATCATTTATTTAAGGGTGTAGAATTAAATAATAAAAGAATCTTACTTTAACTTTATTTTTAATTTGTGAACCTGTTTTGAATCTCTAATCTCTACATGTGTGATGACAGAAAATCCAAGAATTATAATCCACATGGCCCGAAAATAGATTTTGAAAATGAGTTATAGTCTTCCATTGTATTGTTGAAAACAATCTTGTGTTTGAAAAATTATTATAATGTATAAGTTAATTAACTAATATAAAGAATGCAAATCTAAAATTTTAAAGATGGCCCTCTTCAACTATAAAGTCAAACAAACCTGCAGCCCTAATATTTTTCTTCAGTGTATGTATAATAAATACCCCAATGATAACAATATTTATCTCTTACAATTATATAACCATTTGATTTCATAAACATTAGCTCTTTGTATCTTCTCTGAATACTAACTCTGTGAGGGAGATAGAACAGATTGTATTAGTATATTTTGTAAATTAAGGACAGGTTGAAATACATCATTTTCTAAGAAAACTGAAGTATAGAAATGTCAAGTGATTTTGCCCATAGTTATTGGACATTTGAAAGATTTAGCGAGCCTGGAACCTCAGTGTTCTCACTTCACTCACATCTTTTATGTAAATTGAGGTGATAAGTCCCAGTAAACATTTATCTTAGCCCAAACTTTTTGAAATCATTCTTTGAGTTACTCTTGTTCCTCTAAGGGTTCTACAGCCCTACAGAGACTGCCTGGTGGAGATAAAACCCCATCTTACTCACTTGTATTTCTTTTTCTATACCTGTTCCTTTGTGTATCTCTTGTCTTCCCAACTAATATATATATGTTCCATTGGGACAGGTACTGTGCCTTATAGTTAATCAATACTGGGTATATAGTCATTCAGAAATTCTTGACCTTTTAATTTCCTTAGTGCATTGTGATTAGTAGGACCTGAAATAGTGATGCAGAGTTTCATTTGGTTAGCTGTAGACCAAGGAGTAAGTGCTAGCCACTCTCCTCAGGAATGATGAATAGCTATTGAGATGGTTAATGTTTTTATTTTATTTTAATTTTTTTTACAATCCTATTTAATAAAAGCTTTAATATGCAAATTGTTGTACTGGAAGTTCTACTGCTTGCTATGATGTGCGCTGACCACCAGGGGGTGGCACAGAACATGGCAGGCGTTGGTGGTGCTGGCAGTGAAAGGCACTTCCGGCCCTGATGGGCCCTGATGAGAGCAGGACCACAGTGGGATGGTGGAGCAGGAGAACAGGCAGCGCCAGAACAAAGCAAGTGCAAGCAGGGGCCCGATTGTCCCGCAGTCCGACCAGCTGCAGTGGCGAGGGGCGGGGCTGCCACCCAGCTCCCAGGCACTGAGGGAGAACAGTAGTGGCGGCAGGAGATGGGGTGGATGGTCAACTTAGGCTTTTATATATCTAGAAGGTGTTGGAGTTTGTTTGTTGGAGGGAGCAAGGCAGGGGTCCCGGCCCTGATCAGCTGCCTAGTAGGCGGGATGGTGGAACAGATGAAGGGGCAGTGCCAGGCCACAGCGGGGTGCCAGGTGGGGCTGCAGGGCTGAGAGGATGGGGGCACGAGTTGGGGGCCCAATCCCTGCAGGCCACCCTGAGGGATCTCACCTATGCATGAATTCATGCACTGGGCCTCTGGTATACAAAATAAATCTTTTACCAGATTGTAGATACAAAATAATTAACCATTTATATGCAGTAAGCATTAATATTTCAAGAAAATTATTTTAAATATAATAATATTGCATGCAATAAAAGTCAACATTTTAAGAAAAAATATTTTAAATATAATATTATGAAAATTGTACTAACATAGTATAATATCACAAAAGTTATAGGAAATATTAAAAAATCTGCAAATAACAGGATTACTTCTATTCTAAAACTAGAGGCCCGGTGCATGACTTCCATGCACTGGGGTGGGGGCGACCCTCAGCCTGGCCTGCACCCTCTGGAATTTCACGACCCCTCGGGGGATGTCTGCCTCCAGGGAGTGGGCCCAAGCCAGCAGTCAGACATCCCCCGAGCAGTCCTTAGCGCTGCTGCAGAGGTGGGAGAGGCTTCCACCACCACTACTGTGCCGGCCGGCCAGAAGCCCAGCTGTGGCTGAGCGGCACTCCCCCTGTGGAAGCACACTGGCTACCAGGGGGCAGCTCCTGCATTGAGTGACTGCTCCTGGTGGTCAGTGTGCATCATAGCGACTGGTCGTTCTACTATTTGGTCAATTTGCACATAGGTTTTTATTATATAGGATATTTTTCCTCCTGGCTCTATTTTTGTTCATCAGTTTATGTTATTCATTATATTCCACAAATGAGTGAGATCATGTACCCTGTTTCCCCGAAAATAAGACAGTGTCTTATATTAATTTTTTCTCCCAAAGTTGCGCTAGGTCTTATTTTCAGGGGATGTCTTATCTTTCCATGCGCTAGGTCTTATTTTCGGAGGATGTCTTATTTTCAGGGAAACACGGTACTATTTATCTTTCTCTGACTGGCTTACTTCACTTAGCATAATCCTCTCTAGGTTCATCCATGCTGTTGCAAATGGTAAGAGTTCCTTCTTTTCTAAAGAAGCATAGTATTCCATTGTGTAGATGTACCATGGGTTTTTGTTCCACTCATCTGCTTATTGATACTTAGGCTGTTTCCAAATCTTAGCTATTGTAAATTGTGCTGCTGTGAACATAGGGGTGCATATATCTTTTCTGATTGGTGTTTCTGATTTCTTGGCATATATTCCTAGAAGTGGAATTACTGGGTCAAATGGGAGTTCCATTTTTAATTTTTTAAGGAATGAAATGGTTAATGTAGATAACTGTAGAGACAAGCCCATTTAGAGAACCATTTAGAGAACCATGTACTTTTAAAGAGCATTTCTTCCTGTGATTGGGCCGAATGCAAAGATAGGCTAGTCACAGTGGGAAGTTAATCACCATTTCCTTCTCCAGGTCCTAAAAATAACTACCATTGGAAAGATAACAGCTCTTCTGCCTATGTCACTATACACTGAGTGGCCAGATTATTATGATCTTGGTGCATGAATTCATGCATGGGTGGGGTCCGGCCAGCCTGGCCAGGGGGAGGGAACATGGGCGGTTGGCCAGCCTGCCTACTGGTCCAACTCCTGGTCGAGGGGACAATTTACATATTAGCCTTTTATTATATAGGCTATATGCTGAGTGGCCAGATTATAATGTGTTTAGAGATCATAATAATTTGGCCACTCAGTGTAGTTTCAAAGCCAACTTTTACTTACCTTATTACACTTAACCCTTTCAGAAGTCCTTTGAGATAGTCGGGGCAGGTATTACTCGCCTCAGTTAGTAAATGAGGAAACTCTGGCTTGGAATAGAGAAGAGACTTTCCCAAGATCAGGAGTCTAAGTAGTACTTGAATAGAGATTTTCTGGTACTTGGTCCAAGTCTCTTTACACTATATTGCTTCTGATTGTCAGTGAAGTTTGCCATCATCATTATTTGATTACCAGAGGATTTCATGGTAGGGGTGGAGGACTCTTTTCAAATGAAAAATATTGTGAAGGTAACGTGGCTTGAAATTTAACCTGTGCTTCTTGTCCATCTTAGCTTTGATTTTATTCTGAAATGAAACAAATTGAGCTAATTATGACAGTTATGTTGATGAATATAATTGAATAGAAAGGACAAAAATCAGTGCATTTTTGCATTAAAAAAATATCAATCAGCTTGGCCAGTGTGACTTAGTGGTTAAGCATTGACCTATGAACCAGGAGGTCATGGTTTGATTCCTGGTCAGGGCACATGCATGGGTTGTGGGCTTGATTCCCAGGAGGGGGTGTTCAGGAGGCAGCTGAACGATGATTTTCTCTCACCATTGCTGTTTCTATCTCTCCCTCTCCCTTCCTGTCTGAAATCAATTTTAAAACATTGTTTTAAAAAAAATCAATCAGGTCTTCTAGAATTTTTAAATTATAATTCCAGAACATCTAGATGAAGGACAAACAAGACCTCTAACCAGATGAATTTACAGATATTTGGGTTTTCTCGGTTTAATCTACACCTTCTCAAAAGTTACTGATGGATGTTTTTAGTATGCTATTGGATTTTTTTTTATTTCTAATAATAATAAGAGAAACTTCACCTTATAATTGCTACATTAAATATACATGTTTCTTTTCATGAAAAACACCTCTGTTGGCTATTTAATGTTTTAATTCTTCTATGTAGATAGCAGAAACATGCACTTATATTTCCTCATATTTGCCTAAATTTAATTTAAACTTCAAAATAGTTATTTAATATGTGACCAACTGTAAACTTCAATAGAAGTAAATATATATTACTTTGGGCTAAACTAGGCAAATTCTTTGGGTAGTGTTTTAAATCACAATGGTAATAAGAAGGTAAACGGAACATGTGCTAGGTGCTTTACATACATTATAGATTTATAAGCTATAATAATGATCTAAAATTGTGAATTAATAATGATTAAAGCACAAACAACATAGTTGTGATGTGTGGAAACCTTTTTTAAAGAAATCCATCACTAACCTCCAAAAAAGATTTATAGAGTACCTCTCTCAGAATTAGGAAACTGATATATTATTCTGCTAATTAGAAAGGTAACAGACATGTTAGGGGGGGAGTGATGTATATTTTAGGCTTGTTACAGTTTCCTGGAGCCCAAGTCTATTGTTTAATGAATAGTAAATAGCCTAACTATTGTAACATTAGTATACGGAAACATTTTCAAATATTAAGAGCCTTCCTGGTAATGTAATACCTGGGCTGCTAGAGTGATCTTTCTAATGTAACTTCAGAAATAATAATAATAAAAAAAAATATCCCAGAAGTAAAAACCTTTTGTAAAACATGGCCACATTTTGTTTACAAATGATGGATTCTACTTTTTGCAGATGTGTCTTGCTGAATCGGGGCTCTCTTATCCCTGCCATCGACTGACAGTGGGAAGGAGATCTTCACCTACACAGACCCGGGAGCAGTCCGAGGAGGTAAGCCTGTTAGCCAGCTTTTCAGTGAACATAAGGCCTATCCTCCACACACCTGCCCACTTCCTATTCTTTTTTATCTGCCACAGCAATGAATAGATAAAGTTAATGTAGCGTGAATAAAGTCTCAGTAACTCCCCCCAAGTAAACTCTTTAAAGTAGAAACTTTCCATGCAAGGTTATGGCTAATGTGGTCTTTCTTGTTCTTTAAGTTTCATGTTTCAGCAGACAGAATTTGGATGGATTGGTTAAAATGATTTTTATGTAGAACTGTCAGGTTAACAGGCATTTTCTTTGCTGCTATTTATTAGGATTGAGTACATTTATTAGGATTGATTCTGAAGGTTCTTTAACTCATTCAGTTGGTGCACCTTCTGTGAGCCAGGCATTGTGCAAAGATGAATAACAATGTACCTATACCAAGATGCTCAGAGTCAAAGGTGATATATTAGTAAACTAATAATAATGACATCCTGTATAATAAAGAGGTAATATGCAAATTGACCGTCACTCCAACACACAACAGGGCTGCCCCCATGTGCACACAAGATGGCTGCCACAAGATGGCCAGCAGGGGAAGGCATTTGGGAGGGTCCTGGCCTGCAAGGGAGGGCAGTTGGGGGCGATCAGGCCAGCAGGATAGGACAGTTAGGGGGGACAGGGCCTGCAGAGGAGGGCAGTTGGGAGCAATTAGGCCAGCAGCAAGGAGCATTTATGGGTGACCAGGCTGGCAGGGGAGGGCAGTGGGGGGAACCAGGCCTATGGGGGAGGGCAGTTGGGAGGAACCAGGCCTGCAAGGGAGGGCAGTTGAAGGTGGGGACAGGCTTGCCGGGGACGCAGTTGGGAGGGACAAGGTCTGCAGGGGAGGAAAGTTGGGGAAGGGAGGGACACCAAGCCAGCAGGGGAGGGCAATTAGGGGTGATCAGGTTGGCAGAGGAGGGCAGTTAGGGGCAACCAGCCTGGCGAAGGAAGGAAGTTAGGGGTGACCAGGCCAGCAGGGGAGGGCAGTTAGGGGCAAGCAGGCCTGTAGGGGAAGGTGTTTGGGGGCAACAAAGCCAGCAAGGAAGGGCAGTTGGAGGCGATCAGGCTTGCAGGGGAGGACAGCTAGGGGTGACCAGGACAACAGAGGAGAGCAGCTAGGGGCAATCGGGCTGGCAGGTTAGTGGTTAGGGGGTGATTAGTCTGGCAAGCATAAGTGGTTAGGGGCAATCAGGAGGGCAGCCAGGCAAGTAATTGTCAGCCAGCAGTCCTGGATTGTGAGAGGGATGTCCGACTTACCTAGTTGGATCGGGCCTAAATGGGCAGTTGGACATCCCTTGAGGGGTCCCAGATTGGAGAGGGTGCAGGCTGGGCTGAGGGACATACCCCATGCACGAATTTCGTGTGCTGGACCTCTAGTATTACAATAAATGCAGTGAGCCGAAACCAGTTTGGCTCAGTGGATAGAGCATCCATCTGTGGACTAAAAGGTCCCAGGTTTGATTCCTGTCAAGGGCATGTACATTGGTTACAGGTACATCCCCAGTAGGGGGTGTGCAGGAGGCAGCTGGTCGATGTTTCTCTCTCATCGATGTTTCTAGCTCTCTATCCCTCTTCCTTCCTCTCTGTGAAAAATCAATAAAATATATATTATTTAAAACAAAAACAAAAACAATAAATGCAGTGAGAGCAATCAGTGTACATAGGGTGCTATGGAAACAAAGTAGAGGGCCAGATAAGATTGAACATGTTTATGTGTGTGTGTCTTTGTGGGGCTGAGTGATATTAAAAGGCAGTACCTTTTCCATGGCTACAAATAACACTCTGTCCAACTATGACTTTGGTTATAAGGGAATGGGAAAATGGGCCTGAACATTATAGCTTATCAGTTTAAGGAGTATTTATTGAGCTCCTGTTATGTGCTAGGAAATATCATTACCATGATTTAAAAAATGTACATCACAGAGGTCATAACTAAATAGTACAGAAAAAGTTTATTTATACCTATCTGTTTTAGGCTAAAGCCTGAAAGTATTTGAAAAGTTTGGGCTAGTTCAATAAAATTATTTTGCACTTACTTTCTATATAAAAAAAATGGCTGCAAATTTGTATTTAAACTGACTATATGATTTTTAACATTTCAGAAATCCACATAGAAATAAGGTTTTCCTCTTGCTATAAATACTACTATACTGTTTTCTTGGGCCTCAAAAAATGTTGATTTCCTTTAAAGAATCCACATCCTTTTTTTTTTAGCATTTCATTTCACTAATTCTCATGAAAGAAAAAATGATAATGAATTTCATGTTTGGCAGAAATAATTTATTGAAATATTTGTTTTTAATATTTCTGAATATATTTTAAATGACTAAAGTAGATATGTTTCAACTCTTTAATGGATAAATCCACTAACATTAAAAAGTGACCAACAAGCTACATCCAAAATTCTTAATTGTTCCATTATCTGAGAGGTGACAGATACCTATTTCACTTCATTTTATTTCTTCTCGTACCCATGCCATTATGTGTGAGAAGTCAGTATCACAGAGTGAGGAGTGGTGTTTGTGAAACTGACATACTTTTTAGATTAATTAGAAAAGGGAGCGTAGGCTTAGGAAGCTTTGTCAAACTAAAGTAGTCACATCTTTGGGAATATCTTAAAATCTGATTGTCTGAGATGAACCCATTATTCTTCCCTAGCTAACTATAAATACTACCGTGTTTCCCTGAAAATAAGACATTCCGAAAATAAGACCTACTTACAGGTTTCCTTCTGAGTGAAATATAAGGTATCCCCCGAAAATAAGCACACACACACACCCCCCCACACACACACACACACAGGCTAAACATGAGAGATTTCGTCCATTGATTCTGAAAGAAATGGAGTCACAGGAAATTCAGGAATTGGATTGTTATGATGATGTTCCAGAAGATGATGACATGATTGTCATTGAATAAATGAGTAAATTCTTGATACTGTAGGATTCACAGTTTGTCTGGTTTCTGTTGACAACTACTGTACTACCATACTGTATACAGGTAATAAATTTCCTTTATTTTCATTTAACAATAAATGTGTACCATATTCTTCTTCATGGAAAAATAAGACATCCCCTGAAAATAAGACCTACCGCATCTTTGGGAGCAAAAATTAATATAAGACACTGTCTTATTTTCGGGGAAACAGGGTACCTCCTCCAGGGAGCTGGTGAGAAATGGGAAAGAAGCTGTGGTTTTTATGTTGTCATAGAGTTATAAAAACAAAGGGATTTTTAATTCAGTGTTTACTCTTCCATCCATTCATCCCTCATTCATTTAAACATCACTTAATGTCTTCTAGGTTCCAGACGTTAGGACCACAGTTCGCATGCTGAAAGAGTTCACTCAAAGTATCCCCTCAAAATATACCGTATTTTTCGGACCATAAGACGCACTTTTTTCCCCCCAGAAGTGGGGGGAAAAAGTCCCTGCGTCTTATGGTCCAAATATAGCCTACACATATACTTTAAAAAAAAAGTTTTTTTACTTGCCCGGCTCTGTGTGGTCTCTGTGTGCTTGCCCGGCTCTAAAATGGTTCTAAATGCTGCTGTTTACTTTACAGGGTTGATTATATGTGTTTATGACTGTGATGTTGGGTTTTAATGCACATAAAATATTTTAGGACACTATTTGTTTCAGAATCTTTTTTTCTTCATTTCCCTTCTCTAAAAACTGGTGTGTCTTATGGTCCAGAGCATCTTATGGTCCGAAAAATACGGTACCTTTGTTTTACCTTTAATTATAGGGTTCTGTCTTCATGAGGCACCAGTTCCATTTTTGAGCAGCTGTCTGTTGATAGTTTTCTTATATTAAACTGAAACCCATGTCTTGGTAGCTTCCACCCAGTAGTTTTACTTATTTTTTCTGGTTTTAACTCTTCTCCTATATGACTTCATATATTTCAAGACAATTTTGCTATTAGTAAGTCTTAAGTTAGGAAGGAGATATTTGAGATAAGTAGTTAAATTTAATTTTTGAATTCATGGATTGCTATTATAAATTTTAATGGCAATCCATAAATTGGAAAAATTTTATTCCTTATATTCTCCTTTTGGACCTGCAAATACATTTTATATATGACTAGAGGCTCACTGCAGGAAGATTCCTGCAATGGGGCTTCCTGCTGGGGTCGCTGCCCCGCCTGCCTCCCTTCTTTCTCCCCCAAGCACTTACTTCTCCACAGCTTCACTCCCTTCTGCAGCGCTTGGCTTCTTTCTATGCCGTCTTCAGCCTTTGCTGTGGTCTGGATATGCAAATTAACCACCATCTTGGTTGGATTAATTTGCATACTTGCCCTGATTGGCTGGTGGGGGTAGAGAAGGTACAATCAATTTGCATGTTTCTCTTTTATTAGGTAGATAGTTCCACATTTTTCTCTCCTTCCCACCCACTAATTGCTCTTGATTCCCCTTTAAATGATCTTTCCATATCTTTGGGTGCCTAGGTAGGTACCTATCACTCCTCTTCCCAAATCCTTGGGTGGGACAGTATAGGGATCCCTTGGACCAATCTCCTTGGGAATTGTCCATTCTTCAGTGGACAGTATAGGAGTAGCTCAAGAATAATAAAAACCAAATTCTAAATATAGTTAATGTTAAAACCATTATTTTATAACTTCTTATCATAATACAATAGTTATCTCTTTCTTAATTACAATCCTATTGAACCTATTTACAGTTATTCATTGAAATTTTCTCAGACCTTGCTTCTAAGATTCTTTCAGTTGACTTTTCTTATTTTTGACAGCTTATCTATCTATTCTCTTACTGTTTCTCTTCCTTCACCAATTGAAATATTTTTATTTTCTGTAAACTCTTATCTTTTTCACTCTTATTTCCTTATTTTTTAACTGATTGATCTTATTCATTTTCATAATCTCAACTGTTATTTATATACGGATGGCTTCCAAATTTAAATCTTTTCTGAGGCTCTCTCCTGAGCTGGTCATATTTTTTTTTTCCCCCAGCTGCAAACTAGATGTTTTTACCTAGATGTCCTACAAGCTTCCTCAAATTCTGAGAACTGGTCTCAGCATACTCCCTCCCAGGACCTAACCATCTCTAACCACTAAGTTACCCAAATCTTGGTGTCATATTCACCTCTTTCTTTCTTTCTTTCTTTCTTTCTTTCTTTCTTTCTTTCTTTCTTTCTTTCTTTCTTTTTTTAAATCTTTATTTTTTTTCTTGATTCTTAAGTCTAGCTGGTCAACATTTCCTGTCAGTTCTGCTGAAATATATTATTTTAAGTCCCCTTCATTCAGTTTCTATTGCTATGGCTCAAATATAGGTTCTTAGGTTCTCTCACTTGCAACTCTGATATAAGTCACCTTTCTCATGTCCTCAAGTCTAATCTACCATATGCTACCATACCACCCCAAACACACAAACACACACAGCCATCAGTTATTCCCTCGAACAGTTGCTGCCTAAAAACCTTTAGTGCTTTCCCTATTGCCATCCGAGTAAAGTCCTTAGTGTGCTGATTTTAGGACTGCCACATCTAGACCCATCAAACCTTTTGTCCTATCTGCCAGTCCACATTCCTCTTCCATGCATAGAGCTAATGATTCCATATGCTTTGCTGGGTTCTTTATTGATTTTTCAAAATATTCAATTCCTTGCTTGAGTTTTTTGTCTGCTTAGACTACAACTCCCTCCCCATCAAATTTCCATTACTCACGCTCCACAATATTGGTATCTTTTCTTAAGGCAAGGGTTAAATAATAGCACTTATTACACAATCTTCTTCACCGGTCCTAAAGTAACTAATCACTGTCTTCTTTATTTTCCAATAGCCTTTGCTTAATCTTTTGTTATATCTCTGATTACACTGAAAAAGACATATTTGCAACTAAATATGCCTTCCTTTAGAATGGGAGTTTTTTGAAGGCTGGAACTATGTTTTATCTCTATTTCCTAAACTTTTTATTTTTTTTATTTTTTTAAAATATATTTTATTGATTTTTGTACAGAGAGGAAGGGAGAGAGATAGAGAGTTAGAAACATCGATGAGAGAGAGTCATCGATCAGTTGCCTTTTGCACAACCCCTACCGGGGATATGCCCGCAACCAAGGTACATGCCCTTGACCGGAATCGAACCCGGGACCCTTCAGTCCCCAAGCCGACGCTCTATCCATTGAGCTAAACCGGTCCCGGCTATTTCCTAAACTTTTTAACTTGGTGTTTTGATATAAGTAGTTGGTGAAAGGAATATCTGCTTCAGTTTTAAGCTTGCCTCAGTGCCAAGTATATATGAGTCCTACATTTTTATCTCAGTTTGGTTGTTATCTCCTCTAGGAAGTTTGCCCTAATCCCTCCAGTGCATTAAATGCTGTCCTCTGAACTTATCTGTCTTAATACTTATCACTAGGTATTATAATTATCTTTATATTTTATATAGTATTCCTTGAGAGACCATAATCTATATCTTTCACATGGGTGCAAGCAGTGTAGCACTTAGTAGGGGCTTATAAATATTTGTTAAATGAAAAAAGGAACAAATTAATAAATAGCTAAATAGAATCACATTTTTTAAAGCTATTTTTAAAATTCTGAATAAATAGCTTATTTGTATTTAAAGAATTTTAGGGCAGCCATCACTGAACCAAGAGATTATTATTTGCATCAGCAAACATTAATGATAAAAAGGTTGTTTATCTCATTTTTTAGAAGAAGCTTTTCCTAACCTGTTAGATGGCTGATAAGAAAATGTAAGGAGATTGGGAGTTCCTTATACATAATTAAGTAGCTCATTCTTGCAGATACTTCAATAATTCATATTTGAAATATACTTTTTCAACAAAATCGGCTTTTAGATACCTCCCTTTGAAGATGTTATCGTTGTAGGATTTCATTTTCTTGGGCTCTTCAGAGATTTGGGAATGCTATACTTTGTGAAGACAAAATGAATAATGGGTTACATAGGCACAAAATTAAAATCACATCCATGAGGTTAAGTACTGTTGCTATGGAAAGGGACTGCTATTTGATTGAAAACTGAAATCAGAGAAAGAGGATAAATAGGGGGACTAAAGTAAAGGGGGTGAAAAATAAAGATGATACATAGAATAATCCCTTTCTTTTCATCTGTGTTTTCCAACCCTCCTATTTAACCTGATGCCTCTTAAAGAAGGGGTGAATACTAGGCAAGACTAATAGAAGGCTAAGATGATAGCTTAGCTAATAAGAATTTGAGGAAGTTTGTCTTACTGGCCTTTTGTTTATTTCCTCTTGCCTGAGAGCCTGAGTGAGCATCCTAAAGGAACACGTAGTGTATCTTTAAGGGTTTGAGCCTTTACCTGTTTAAGACTGAGCCTCGAAGTTCAAGGGAACTTCATACTCCAGATAATTTGCCTGCCTGAAATACAGAGGGAATTCAAGCACAGTTGTGGTCTTAGTAAATGTGTTATTTTGTGGAGGAGGCTCCCTCACTGCCTTGAAATGAGGAGGGTTTTTAAATATTTAAGCTGTTGAACTGTTAAAATCAGGAAGAGGTCTTAGCTCTACAAAGCAAAACACTAAAGTAGGATTATGATCACAAATATAACCAAGGCTTCTGTGGGAAATAATGATACAGTCAGGATAGCAGATAGACTGTTTAGGGCCAGGACTTATCATTTTTACTTATCCAATAAGTATATGTTCATTACCTTCTCTATTCAAACCATTGAGAAGCCTGTCTTTAAAATAAGAGGGAAAGTCTCACAATTCTGGGTATTAATGCTTGGTTATGCCCAAGGAAGAAATGCTAAACCTACTGTGTCAAATGGGGTAAATATTTTGGCTTCCTCATTTGGAGCTGTTAGACTCACTGGGCCATTGGTCGGCAAACTGAGGTTCTTTGGCCCCTTGAGTGTGGCTTTTCCACAAAATACTACGTGTGGGCGCGCATGGATAGTGCGATTGAAACTTCGTGGCCCATGCGCAGAAGTCGGTTTTTGGCTCTCAAAAGAAAATTTCAATTGTTGTACTGTTGATATTTGGCTCTGTTGACTAATGAGTTTGCCGATCACTGCCCTAGGCCAGTGGTTTTTAAAATTGTCCCATAGTGTCCTGAGAGCCATTGGAGGTAACGCACTGTCAAAGGGATATGAGGAGGAAGAAGCCAAACGCCAAGACCATTAGGCTCCCTAATGCCCTCTCCCTGCATCAGTCAGAGAGGCCTTTTCAAATATTATATGCATTGTAATTTTGCATAATGTTTTGCTTGGGGCTGGAGGAAGGAGGTAACCCTTTGAAAAGAAATTTGAAAATCACTGATGAGAGATCTTTAAAATCCCTTCTAGCTTTAACATCTGTTTCTGTAAGTGGCTGACCTCTAATATCCCGTCTAGCTAAGTTTTTGAGTCTTTGATTCTAAGTTTCTCTTAATGCTTTTCTGGCAAATATTTATCTCTAAGTTAGGGTCTTCTGCATTGACTAAAGGATCAAATTAGTTTCCTCATTTTTATAACTGAAGTACACAGCACACCATATTTTAAAAGATAGAAGTGTATTTTATGTTATCTTCCAATAATACTGTGAGGATAGTGTGCCATATTTTACTAATGAAAAATTTTGAGAACCATTGCAGTAAAGAAGTGCCAAGTTTGAAAATGCTATCCTTGCTTTTCAAACATACCCCTGACAAACATAGATTAGTGTGAGCTTTGTAAAAGTCTCATATAGCTTACCTTGTCTCTGACCTCTCCCAGTTGTACCTGTTACCTCACTTTTTGAGCAATTATTTTTGAGCACTAAGTTGTGTTACTATAGGCCAGGGATCAAATAAACAAAAAGCCTGCCTTCATTAAGTTTGTAAGCACCTTTTATTTTCCCTCCGTCTCCAATCTCTATTCTGGGGATATCACAGCAAGTTTAGAGATATATGAAAGCCTTAAACTGAAAAATATTGAGCTTTGCTCTAAGAAATGGTTCCTTATTTAATATAGCTTTTATAATGCTAAATGTGATGGCATAACTTATATTTTGAAATTTGATTTCCTTAAATAGCAAAGCACCGATGTTCATATGGTTAGTGATAGTGATGGAGATGACTTCGAAGATGCTCCTGAATTTGGGGTGGATGATGGAGAAGTATTCGGCATGGCGTCAACTGCCCTGAGAAAATCTCCAATGAGTGAGTATTAATAGTTCTTTGGGTCCGGCATTATAATTCTCCCTTTTATTGCAAAAACTTATGAAGAGTTGTGAACTTAAAAGTTTCTTACTGACTTTTGGGTTTGGAAAGAAAATATAACAAATAAGCACTATTCATTAGAATTAGAGCCTCTTGAGTTTTGATTTTATTAAGCCTAGTGATTTCCCAATGCTTTAGTAAAATTCATTAAAATGCAAGGAAATGTAACTTGTTTCACATGTGTAATTAGCTATGAATCTGTCCCTTTACTTTAAACCTAGAGTTTGTCAACAAACTTCTGTGACAAACTTTTGTTTCCCCAAATCTTATTAGAAATACCAAAATTTTTACTATTTAAATATTTTAATGAATTAACCACAAAGTGGTATTTTTTAAAATCTTGTAATTAAATTGACCATATCTCTAAAAACAAAAAACAAACCAATATTAGTATTACTTTTCCATTCACTGATCTTTGAGTATCTTTGGAAGAAAAAGAAAAATAAGTAAATAAATAAATAAATGTACCATCTCCCTCACTTACACCTTACAAGATGCATACTGTAGAATCATAAGTGGTTGCTATATGAAAAATGATCCTTAAAAGAAGTCCTTAAGTGGATCATTTGTTCTGAAATTAGGGAATTCCTGGGAGAAGAAATAGGTATATTTGCATTAAATTGACTATTTTTCTGATTAATAGGTCTTTAAAATAAATTGAGATTCTTTTTATATAATTTAATCACAAGATGTCATTTCAAGAAAACATTGACATTCTGAGTGATGCCTGGCACATGTTTTAAATGTCTATTAGCAAGATTGTGTCAGTTGCTTTTCCAAAATTTATGAGCTTGGAATTTTTTTAAGTTACTTTTTTAAGATTTCATGAATTCTCCTAATGTATATCAAGATAAAATGTCTCCTCAGATATATCACAGAAACTAAAACTTAATCTTATTTTCTCTTTATTGATTAAATATATTTCTTATATGTGGGATTAGATGTTATGTGGTTTGTTTTTCGTGTCTATTTGTTTTGTTTTTTTTGTTTTTGTTTTTTCTTTTGTTTGTTTTTTAGTGCCAGAAAACGCAGAAAATGAAGGAGATGCCTTATTACAATTTACAGCAGAGTTTTCCTCAAGGTAGGGTTAGGATATTAACTCTATAAAGTTGATGTTCTTTTAATGCCACTGTATTTTTCTGGAGCAGTTTTAATCATAAATTGATTATTTTTTAATTTCTCCTTAAAGTATTCAAAGATTATATTTGTCAACTTATATAGTCCTGATAGTGAAACATGTAGTATTCAATGTCAAATAACCAGTTAACCATTTATGCCACTTCAGAGATGTAGTCATCTTATCTCTGTAGCTCTTCTTCTTCTTCTTCTTCTTCTTCTTCTTCTTCTTCTTATTCTTATTCTTATTCTTCTTCATCTTCTTCTTTATTGATTTCAAAGAGGAAGGGAGAGGGAGAGAGAAATAGGAACATCAATGATCAGAGAGAATCATTGATCAGCTGCATCCTGCACGTTCCCTACTGGGAATCGATCCAGCAACCCAGGCATGTGCCCTGACTGGAAAACTAACTGTTACTTTCTGGTTCATGGGTCATTGCTCAACCACTGAGCCACACCGGCCGGGCTTTGTATCTTTCTTTATTGAAGCACAAGTAATGGATCACTAATTTAATATTTTGACTATAGTTGCAAAGGACTAGGTTATAAAATACTACTTTTTAGTGTGTCTAGGGCAAACAAAATATGCTTCAAAATAACATTACATAATTTTTATTTATTTCAGAGAGGAAGGGAGAGGGAGATAGAAACATCAATGATGAGAGAGAATTATTGATTAGCTGCCTTCTGCACACCCCCCGCTGGGGATTGGGCCCACAATTCAGGCATGTGCCCTTGACCGAAATTGAACCCGGTATCCATTGAGCCAAACTGGCTAGGGCTAAAAAGATAATTTTAAATGGAAGTGAATTTTTAATTTTTGCTTGGAATCATTTAGCCTCTTTTCTTTTTAGAGTCTAATATAGCATGTTTTCTGTGCATTTACATGAGATTTACATGTGCATTTGAGATTCTCCAAAGGTGTTTAAGTAAAGAGGATTTAAATATTTAACCATAAATTTTCATGTAAATGACATTTCTCTTTAGTTCTATTTTCCAATGTAATAGTATAATTTGAAAACTTTGCAGGATACCATTTCCCCCTCTTTGTTGGACTTCCAGAATAAATGAACTAAAATGCAAAGTTAAGGCGACAGTAGCTAGCAAAATTTTATAACCGTGGGTAACCAGGAACTGCTATTTATAAATGTCATGGTTTTGTGGCACTTAATTAAATACATTTGCTAGATGTGCTTAAAATTGTACTGTTCTAGTATATCAGTATAGGCCAAGGAGAACTCTAAGAACTAATGAAGCTCATTCATTCCCAAGCCTTTAAGGAAATGTTTTAACATTAGCCTTGAATTTACATAATTCATTGTTTAGACTTGTGTAACTTTGAAGTTAATTTGAAATGTATTTTAATTAATACGGATACTTTTTCCTATAGATATGGAGACTGCCATCCTGTATTTTTTATTGGCTCATTAGAAGCTGCTTTTCAAGAGGCCTTCTATGTGAAAGCCCGAGATGTAAGTGTAATCTAACTTTTTCTGGTAAAAAGTACATCCCATAGGTTTACCCCAGGCCTGGGGCAATGCTTAATGTTTTCTGTTTTTTTCAGGTTGAAGACTTGATTTTGATTCTGGTTCATCTACCAACATAATCATCACCAAAATGCCCATTTCAGAGAGGCAGTAGTGTGATAGGGTACTGCTGGCTCTTGCAGAAGGCCTTGATACAGGGTGGTTTTTTGTAAGGAAATAAAAAAAGAGTATACATGCTTAGAAGGTACCAGGCTACTTGTTTGTATTCTTTTCAGTTACGTGATTAATAGGTTCTTGCTAAAGGATTTTCCTTCAGTCTTTTCCCAAGATGATTATTCCCATCTGGTGGTATATATCTAATAGCTGCAATATATTTTTACCAAAAGTCACTTTAGACAACAAAAAGATTCTTCCTTAAACTCAGAAATGGGCTTTGTGATCTTGAAATCAAGTAGATTGACATTTATAACCAGAATCAGAGGGTACATTTGGAGCAAGAAGGTTCTATGCCATCACTCTGTTGACACAGCAGTCAAGAACTGGCATAAATCAGTAATCTGGTTTCTGCTTATTTGTACAGCTTCAGCTTTTCCCATTCCCTGCCTTACACTTACCCTGTTTCCCCGTAAATAAGACAGTGTCTTATATTAATTTTTGCTCTCAAATATGCGCTAGGTCTTATTTTCAGGGGATGTCTTATTTTTCCATGAAGAAGAATACGGTACACATTTATTTTTAAATGAAAATAAAGGAAATTTATTACCTGTATACGGTACAGTAGTATGGTAGTTGTCAACAGAAACCAGACAAACTGTGAATCCTACAGTATCAAGAATTTACTCATTTATTCAATGACAATCATGTCATCATCTTCTGGAACATCATCATAACAATCCAATTCCTGAATTTCCTGGTGAATTTCTTGTGAATCCATTTCTTTCAGAATCAGTGGACCAAATCTCTCATGTTTAGCCTGGGGGGGGGGGCCTTATTTTTGGGAGGATGCCTTATATTCCACTCAGAAGGAAACCTGTAAGTAGGTCTTATTTTCGGAGGATGTCTTATTTTCGGGGAAACAGGGTAGTAGATCAAGCAGTAGTGTACCATTTGTATTTTCCCATAATCTTACTCTTTTTTTTAAATTTAATAAATCATTATTGCTCAGATTATTACAATTGTTTCTCCTTTTCTCCCCATAGCTCCCTTCCACCCGGTTCCCACCTCACCCTCTGTCCTTACCCCACCCCCCATTGTCCTCATCCATAGGTGTACGATTTTAGTCCAGTCTCTTCCTGCATCCCCCACACCCCTTATCCCCTGATAATTATCAATCCACTCCCTTTCTTTCTTTGTCCCTGATTCTATTCACCAGTTCATTCTGTTCCCCAGATTTTTATTTCACTTGATTTTTAGATTCACTTGTTGGTAGGTATGTATTTGTTGATCATAATTTTTTATCTTTTTCTTCTTCTTCCTCTTCTTAAAGAATACTTTTCAGCATTTCATATGATCCTGGTTTGGTGGTGATGAACTCCTTTAGCTTTTTCTTATCTGTTAAGCTCTTTATCTGCCCTTCAATTCTGAATGGTAACTTTGCTGGGTAGAGTAATCTTGGTTGTAGGTTCTTGCTATTCATCACTTTGAATATTTCTTGCCACTCCCATCTGGCCTGCATAGTTTCTGTTGAGAAATCAGCTGATAATTGTATGGGTGCTCCCTTGTAGGTAACTAACTCTTTTTCTCTTGCTGCTTTCAAGATTCTCTCTTTGTCTTTTGCCCTTGGCATTTTAATTTTGATGTGTCTTGGTGTGGTCCTCTTTGGATTCCTTTTGTTTGGGGTTCTGTTTGCTTCCTGGGCTTGTAAGTCTAGTTCTTTCTCCAGGTGGGGAAAGTTTTCAGTCATTATTTCTTCAAATAGGTTTTCGTATCTTGCTCTCTCTCTTCTTCTGGCACCCCCTTAATTCTGATGTTGGTACGCTTGAAGTTGTCCCAGAGGCTCCTTACACTGTCTTCAACTTTCTGGATTCTCTTCTCTTCTTGCATCTCTGGAGGAGTGTCTTTTGCCTCTTTGTATTCCAAATCTTTGACTTGATTCTTGCGCTCCTCTAATCTGCTGTTGGGTCTATTTCAGTCAGTGTGTGTTTAATTTCTAGTTGGTCCTTTTTCATATCCTCGAGGGTCTCGTTATATTTATCAGCCTTTTCTAGGAAATTCTTGAAAAACCTTATAATCGTGGTTTTGAACTCTATATCCAGTCTTTTGTTCTCCATTTCTTTAGTTTGAGATCTGTTTCCTTGTTTCCCCATTTTCACTGCTTCCCTGAGTTGGTAGGGTGGCTTTGTGTGTTTTGTGTCTTATATGGGCCAGTGGGTCAGCCTCCCCAGTTACCTGAGGTAGACACTCTTTGTGCTCCCCTTTGTTAACTATGTGTACAGCCTTGTTGTAGTTAAGTCTTGATTGTTGTTGGTATCACTGGGAATAATTGACCTCCAGGCCAATTGGATGTGACTATCAGCTGTGTCTACTCCAGGATACCTTCTGTATTGGAGACAGTCTTATAGGATCAGACTTTCAAAATTGCAATAGCCTCTGTGCTCAGCTTGGATGGGGTGGAGTCTCAGGGCTGAGCCGACAGTCTTGGCTTCCTGTCAGCCCTGCCCTTGTGTGTGTGCCTCAGACCTCTGCCTTCCATGGATCCCCTGAGTTTCCACTTGACAGTACAGATTCCCCTTGTAAGAGCGTGGGTGCTCCAGGGACTCGCCCTGAATTGGGTTTCAGTGCTCAGTGCAGTCTGAACTAGGGTTCAGTGCAGTCAGTAGCTTCCGACTCCTTCTGCTATGGAGCAGCTGCGGCAATCCGCGGTCAGACTTCTCTGCACGCACTCAATGGTACTCGACTCTAGACCCTGCCTGCTGCAGCTCCTGGCTCCCCTGAGTCTCCCAGTCTTTGAGTCTCGGGGTGCCTTTCTCTACAGTCCAGACTCCACCTGTACGAGCCTAGGTCCATGGGATTTCGGCCGAGGTTGGGGTTTAGTGCAGTCCTTTCCCTTCCCACCAGCCAGGCACTTGGCCATCCTTCCTCTCTGTGCACACGTCTCCCTACCTCAGCGCTTTGTGGCTCCTCTGATCCATGAGCTTCTCTCCTTCTTTCTAGTTGTAGATTTCCCATTCAGCCAGCTTTCCTGTGGTTTTTGATGATGACCATTCTGTCTTTTAGTTGTTGTTTTGAAATTGTTGTGTGAGGCGGTAGTTTAGGTGCTTACCTAGGCCACCATCTTGGTTTTCCTAATCTTACTCTTTTTTGTGTGTATGTTTCCCTACTGTCAGAAATGGCTTCCTCCTGCTATTTACCTGGTTGACTCTACACTCCTTTGAAACTTACCCTTTCCTGACTTTTCCACTACTCACTCTAACATTAATCGCAGCCACTCCTTTAATACTTTGCAATGATACCCTCTGCTCTTATTGTTACACTTAACACATTGCTTATAATTATTCTTTCTCTCTGTCCACTCACACACACACACATATATATATCTTCTTGAGGTTTTTTTTTTTCTTTTTAGCTGTGACTGTGTAACCTTTACATTCTTATACATAGGAAATACTCTATCCTGTATAATAAAGAGGTAATATGCAAATTGACCATCACTCCAACACACAAGATGGCCACCCCCATGTGGACATAAGATGGCTGCCACAAGATGGCCAGCAGGGGAGGGCAGTTGAGCGGAACCAGGCTGGCAGGGGAGGACAGTTGTGGGCAATCATGCCAGCAGGGGAGAGAAGTTAAGGGCAACCAGGCCAGCAGAGAATGGAAGTTGGGGCAATCAGGCTGGCAAGGGAAGGCAGTTGCAAGGGACAAGGCCTGCAGGGGAGTGCAGTTAGGGGCAACCAGGCATCAGGGGAGAGTAGTTGGGAGTGACCAGGCCTGCAGGGGTGTGCAGTTGGAGTGACAAGGCTTGCAGGGGAGGGCAATTTGGGGCAATTGGGCCAGCAGGGGAGGGCAGTTGGAAGGGACCAGGCCAGCAGGGGAGGGCAGTTAGGGGTGACCAGTCTGGCAAGGGAGGGCAGTTAGGTGTGACTGGGCAGGCAGGGGGCAATAGGGCTGGCAGGAGAGCCATTAGGCGTCATTCAGGCTGGCAAGGGAGTAGTTAGAAGGTGATCAGGCTGGCAGGCAGGCAGGCAAGTGGATTGTGAGAGGGTTCCTAGATTGGAGAGGGTGCTGGCTGGGCTGAGGACTGAGGGACACACACACACACAGTGAATTTTGTGCACCGGGCCTCTTGTATGTTTAATGAATGAAGAAAAAAGACAGAGAGGAAGGAATAGTGTGTAGATGGACTAGAGGGAAAGTTATTGGAATTAAAGAGGGCACAGAATTTTTAGAATAGAGTTCAAGGATGCCTCTGAAATTCTAGTTTCTAGTGTATGTTAAACTCTGACTTAAAGAAAAATTTATTTAAACAAATTTTAAAAATGGAATTGCAAGACAATAATTAGTGATCAAACTTAGAGCTATCATTGAGTTTAATGAGATAGATTAAGAAATATAGACAAGTGTTTTTTTACTCTAAAAATAATGGAATATCTCATCATACAGGCTGTTTTAAGCATTTATTTCTAACACTTAAATCTATATTAAATGAATATTATTTTTGATGAATTACTTCTTTATAATACATGTTTGTATTTTCCATAAATACAGGTTTGTTGGAAATACTGAAAAGCAAAAAGAAAATATTCTAACACAGATTTATGGTTAACTTTATGACATTTTTTTAAATAATTTTTATTATATATTTCAATGAGTATATTTGTGACTAATATAAAATAGAGTCATGTTAAAAGTTTTTTTAGTCAATATTATATGATTTTTTTTCTTAATTATATTTTAACTTTTTATTAAGATGATTTTAATATAGAAAAAGTAAAACAGAATAGTACAATAAACACCCCAAATTCTCTATACTTTTATTTTTTTTC